GCTGAAGTCTCTTTCAAGTGCTTCATCCAGAGTGTCCTTCAGATCAGCCAGGGCTACTCTCATGGTTTTGTACATCAGGTATGTAAGTGCGTCGGTGCTGGGCATCTCTACAGTCTTTGTAGGGAACTGAAGAGACTTGGACTTCTGCAAAGCAAACGATGACAATATGTGACCGCGATGGCACAAAGCCTGACAGAACCAGAAGAATCACCTTGCAAGTCATGAAAGCACATGAAGTTCACACTGCGCTTAAATCATCATATTGACTGGACTGGTCAGAGAGTGTGGTGGACATTAGATTAAGTTAAGCTTGTGTTAATAAGATGAAGATTTGTTGAGCACTTTTAAACCAAGGTACAAAGTGTTTCACAAGGCAGCATGTTAAGATAAGACATTATCTGTACATTCTGCTCTAAATTTGGATATTACACCACTTTCATTTGTGGCATTTATCAAAAATTTGTATTCTTGAGCATACACATAATGACTTGAGTCAAAGTTTTAGAAGTTCGATCAATGTGGGCCCCGGCCCCCTGACTGCAGTGAATGGGGAGAACATGCAAACTCCCCACAGGTTCAAACCTGGAAGATTCTGTGAGGCAACAGTGCTAACCACTGCGCCACCCCAGAATAATATCAATTTATCACATTTCTTTCTAAAACAAATGTAAATATGCTTCATAGATAAGTGGATTAATGCCTGTAAACTCTATCTAAATATTTAGTTTACATCTTATTTTTGAAAAGACATGGTTGAACAAGCTTACACCTCAATACCTGAAGGAACTGGATGTGGTCCTTAGTGCGACAGAGCCTCTCCAGCTCAGCATCAGCCCTCCTGAGCTCAGCTGCATCCCTGTGCATCTTCTCCAGCAGCCCCTCAGCCTGACTGACAGCCGCTCTCGCCTGGACTCTGAGCAGCTCCTTCACTTCACAGCTTTGCTTCTCTATGGAGCTGATTAGTTTGGAGAAAATCCTCTCACTCTCCTCCACTACTGCCTCTGTGGAATGCTGCGGAGAACAAAGGTTCCTCATTTTGATCTCCAGGAATCACAAACACAGCTTTTGTCACAGTATGTCAACACCACATTTAAAGCTCTTATATGAGAGATACACTCACCTTGATGTATTTGATAACATACTGAAGCTCCTTCTCTGCGTCCTTCAGTTTCTGCTCAGCCTTCAAAGAGGTTTCTTGGAGTTTTTTCTAAGAAAAAAAGATGAATATCACACATTGAAGTCCCTCAGATTCCTCATTTCCAAAGTAGACTTTCAAGAAAGTTTTGATTCAACAATCAAAAGACTGGACTGCACTGCACATCCTCTGGTCTGTCAACATAAACCTCTGCCAGCAACATCGGAGCACATGATCTGGCTGTGGATGGAGGGCACATTTTACCCTCCCTGTATAAATGTTGAGTCCCTTACACCAGGAAATACACAAAGCAACTGAAGCTACAGCAGTGGTAGTGAATAGATCATAAATAACTGTCCATGAATCAGCTTGGAAATCACAGGAAAAAAAGATGCTCCGGAACTTCCCTGAGAATAACATTTCTTCAGTTTCAAAGTAACTTAGTCAAAGCCATCTGTACCCTAATGAGTACATTAAAAACAGGAATGTTTAATAGATAATTTGGCGTATTTAAATGATGCCAATTTGACAAAATGAAGGCTAACAAAAGGGGCTCAAGTCTACATTTAGTTTACGGAATACCCACAAACCAGGAATCAATCTACATGGGTACAAAGTTAAGGAAATCTATTTAAGATGTAAAACCCATTTTAACATGGGCCTATAGAGTTATGCTGAGTGCGCACAGTACTTTTTCCATCTCTCACCGACTTAGCCTATCAAATTACACATGCAAATCATAAATGTGGGACTTTCCATGTTTACTGAACATCCCATTATAACACAAGCTGACATAACACTGATGATGCAATTAGAGTTATTTAAATTTACTCTTGACAAAGCTCCTCCACAACCACAGAGGGAATGCAGCCTATTGACATAGAACTAGGAACATGCCCTTTACTTCCGGCAAAAGTCGCTCTCTAGTTTGGTGCAAACCGTACATAATGTGACATATATCATTTTAAAGTAGGCTACTTGAACAAAACGGAAATTAATTTGTAATCAGTCCATTTTAATCACCGTGACAAGTTATTTAAAAACCATTTAAGCGCCCCAACTTCTTAATAATGAATGTTAAAACACACCTGTTGCGCTGTTCTCTCATCCACCACCGACACCGCGGCGTGGCCCTTGTGTCTCTCTTTAACACACCGGGTGCACACGCACTGCTGGTCCGTGAGACAGTACAGCCTCAGAGGTTTGTCATGCTGTGGGCACAGCTGGTCTCTCGGCTCCTCGGAGGCTGGGATCAGTTTATGGGCCTTCCGGTGAAAGCGTTCTTCGTGGACCTTCAGGTGAGTCGCGCAGTAGGACTCGCAGCACGACAGGCAGGATTTAACAGCTTTGGTCTTTCTCCCGGTGCACACGCTGCATTTCACTTCTTCGGCTTTGGCCGAGGGTTGACGTGCAGCTTGAACTCCACTTCGCTGAAACTGTTCCACCACTTCACCCAGAACTGTGTTTCTACTCAGCAGAGGTCGCGGATTGAACACCCGCCTGCACTGAGGGCAGTTGTACTGGCCTTTCTGCTTGGGCCTGTTCCAGTAGTCTTCAATGCAGTCCAAGCAGTAGCTGTGCCCACAGGGGATCGTCACCGGGTCCCTCAAAATCTCCAGGCACACCGAACAACAAAACTGGTCTTGTTCGATGGAAATAGTTGCTACTGCCATTTCCTCTTCATGCTCAACATAAAATGGAAGAGGTGATGATCGGCGCGGCTCACAGGTGTAGTGACAACAGCTTCTCACGTTTCAGCTGCTGCGCTCTGGAGCCTCCAATCACAGTCAGCAGAGCAGGAAAAAGGCTGTGCCAGCGTGTGGGGAACCTTCTCTGCCAATCATACATTTCATTAGGTAAGTTTATACTAGGTGCAGTGATCTGTTGATGTTATTTTACAGGAAAGCCTTGCAATGTTTGTGTGTACACAGTCAACCTGTTATCCCACTTCTACACCAGACACCTAATGCCTGTGTTGCTTCAAAATGCAATAACGTGTAAACTAGCCCCAGTGCAGAAAACAGACCCATCCAGGAGAAAGTCTAGTTTCTACAGGTTTGCTTTTTACTTTGTGTGTCACAAATCACAATATATTATTACATTTTATGTTTAAAGTTAAAAAAAACAAACAAATGTAATGATATTTATAAAAGCATAACCTCATAAAAACTAACATTTGACTAAAGTTCAAGGTGATTTCCTTGCTAATACTTAAATAAGATACCGCATACTTAAAGTAAATGTGCATTCACTGTGTGGTGCTTACAAATGTTTTCCTCATCTCTTTCTCACTTGCACTGTGATGAAGGATGCAAGTACAGCTTATTGGGGAAAACGAAACTTTAAACGACAATGCAGAAGATAGCTTATTAAACATACATTTCATGAATAGTACATATTTGTGAGAGAAAAAGGAGAGGAGCACTCTCGTGTACTGTAGCATTCTGGACATGTAGATGCAAGGACAGTTTGATGTCCACTTGAATTCTATTTTCGCCTGGGGTGAGCGCGTCGCTGAGGGTGCCTCTGTCTGGACCCTGACGAGAGTTTGGCGCCTGAGCAGACAGAGGAGAAATGATTAGTCTGCAGCAACAGAAACAAGTGAGTAAGAACAGATTTGTATACAGAACCATTTTTCCAATAAGATGCAGTATTAAGAGTGGTCATTTTAATTATAGTACTTATCATTACTAATCACACACCATAAATATCAGCTTACATTTGCATCAAAAATGAAAATACCCAAGATTTTCTTTCAAAGAGATACAAGTTTTAAATATCTACCGCTCACCTGACTGTAGTTTCCTACGATATTTATCACTTGTGCAAAATTTCTTAATGTTACATGAGTATGCGAAAATTCCAATCTCTCTGGAGCAAAGCAATGAGGAACGTAAAGTCACCTCTCAAAAGGATGACATGCACAGAAAAGCACAGAGGCAGCAGCTGAGCTACAGCTGTATTGACAAGGCAGCCTGATGCAGGACATGTCCATGTAAAGTAACTCAAACTCAGCTGTTCTCTCAGATATTTTGATGTATTACACATAAACACGGTCATAGTCCACTAGATTTCAGAAGCACATTTTGTATTTTTTACTCCACAAATTGATAACTGATCTATTTACCAAACTGTGAGAAGGCAAACATGGGCACAACCGATGGAGAGAGGAAAGGGTTGAGAGGGCTCAGGGGACTCTGGTCCAGGCCAGGTGAAGAGACTGCTGCAAGCACAAAGAGAACAAATACAGCTGCTGCAGAGTCTTTGTTATCCAAACTGTCAGCATCAACACACTGTCATGCTCCCACTAATGCTGATTCAGTAAACTTACAATACAGTAAACTAACAATTTGAATAAGGTTTGCGCTGCATCACAAATGGGGTTAGGATGTGCTGCATAGACAAACAGGGTTTCTGCAGGGCGCACAAAGTTAAACAAGATTTTTTTAAAGACCTTTCGATAATAATAATAATAATAAACAAAAGGTATTAGGGTGTTTAAACAGCTGTATTAAGATCTGCATATGTGTGACCAACTTAACCAAAACATATGTAAAAACAGAGATGTGACGCTCACGTCCTGAACGCATGGCAAGCCATCGAGCTCAGTGCGTTAACACGCACGCTTGCTGAGCTCGATGGCTTGCCATACAATATGTATATGATTGGTCAACCGCATCTTTGCTAGATGCCACCATCTGATGTGGTGTGGTGAGGGTCAAAATAGTTTAGGTCACCCGCGGCTTCATTTAGAAGCTAGAAGCTCATAGTTTACGCACAGTTATAAGGTCTGAAGAAACTCATGTGAAATCACACAGGAGAGAAGCCAGTCAGTTGAGTTTGGAGCAAAACCTTCATACTCAAAAAGTAGAACTGAAGTGACATTAATGACAAGATGAAACATAGCTAAAACATTTCAAAATACACCTGCACTGTTTGGCATTTTGCGAATTTGAGTCATTGAAGATTTGGTAAAAATAGTGTTAAAATATCATCTCATCTTATTCTTGTGAACCCAATAATGTGTCTTATTTCGTCTCGTGTATCGTCACACCCCTATGTAAAAGACCAGCACGAGCAGCTTTACGGACTCACCTAGCGTGGTTTCCATTTGTGCAGTAGACCCGGTATCTTCAGCTTGTGCTGTGTTGAGCTGGACAGCAGGATTTGGAGAACCTACAATTACTACATCTCTCACTGCAAAAGATACAAAGACAAAAATCACATAAACAGAATAATTGATATCTCTTTGTATCAGAATAAAACACAAGCTTGATATAACCCTTGGGATCTACCTCTTTCATAGATGCCGACAAATCCTCCCTGGCAGACCTCCTGCAACAGTCCTTTAAAATCTGACACAGCAGTCATCACTGGGCCAAAGGTGAGGTTTGGGTCCACAGTGACTGAAGGCAAAGCTGCCAGCACAGGTGGAGCATGGATAGACTGACAACTCTGGAATCACACACAGACCAAGAGGGGATGACATTCGGACATGTATTTAAGTTGTTGAGTTACTGCCCCGAAGATCCAAAAATAAATAAATAATAATAAAGAAATAAATAAATAGATTGATCTGAATGGTATTACCCGAAGGAAATGCACATGGTCCTCAGTATGGGAAAGTCTGTCCAGTTCAGCCTCATTCTTCTTCAGCTCAGCGATCTCCTTCTGGATCTTTTCCAGCAGCAGCTCAGCCTGACTGATGGCCGTTTTTTCCTGGGCTTTGATCAGCTCTCTCACCTCAAAACGCTTCAGCTGGATTGACTGAACGAACTCTGTGAAGACTCTGTCGCTTTCGTCAACTGCTGCCTGAGCAGAGCG